GCCAAGAGGACAAGCAGAAGAGGGTGAAACCAAGTTTCTCCTTGGAGGCGAGGATTCTGAAGCTCCATCTCACATACTTTGGGTATGTGGCCAGGAGGGGACCAGTCTTTGGAGAAGGACATCATGCTCAGAAGGGTGGAGGTTCAGTGCAGCATAAAAAGCTCCCGGATGAGATGGATTGACATATGGGGTTAAGTGTGTCGGAGTCAGTGAGACTGGCTCAGGATAAGGCAGGGCTCAGAACTATTATACATAAAGTCGCTATGAGTCTCAGGTGACTCCATGGCACTTAACAATAACACAACTAGGGAGCCCTTGTGGCCTGACGGTAAGAAGCTGCACTGCATTCTGAAGGCACGGTTCAAATCCAACAGTTGCTCCGCAGGAGAAAGATTATCAATCTCCTCCCGTGGGATTACTGTCTCTGAAAACCCACTGGAGGGTCAGCTATGGATTGGTATCGACTGGAAGGTACACAACAACATGAGTGGTATTGACTGGATGGCACACAACAGCATCACCAGGGTTGTAGTGGAGAAGCTGAAGGCTTTCTCCTGTCCTGACCTGGAAGATATGGATGGGAGGAGGCCCCAGGTGCTCTGTGGGGCAGGCCTGAGGTGGAGTGATGTCCATAACCAGCAGGGGGTTGACTTTAGGGGCATGACAGGCAGATGCCATGTATTCATGGCTCAAGTTTCAGCAGGTGGTTGACCCTGTCCGGGCTGCTGGCCTAGGGACCAGTCTCTGAGCCCAGGCGCTTCGAGTGCAACAGGAGGTTCCGGGCGAAGATGGGCTCCACCTGCGAGGCGGGCGTGGCGATGAGCAAGCTCTCTTCCTTCCCAGCCCTCTCCCTACCTTCCCGTGAAAAGTCTCAACCCAAGTGACAGCCCCCTCCCCAAATCTACTTCACACGCAGAATGGAGGGTCACAGGGCAGCCCAAGGAGTAGCGAGGGGGCAAGGGGAGGCAGGGGAAAGTCTATTTGAAGGGACAGGACAGTGTGCCTTCCGTTTGGTGTCCAGGATAACTCACATAGGCCATGACAAGTCGCTCCTCGGGCTGGTCAGGAGGGCCTGGGTATTCCTCACCAAAGCACAGGCGGATCTGGTACTCAGGCTCTGGGCGGCCAGCTCGCAGGTGCGCGCACAGTTCTAGGGCATCAAACCGAAACTGTGGGGAAGGGCAGAGGCGGAGCTTCCCCCCCAGCGCACAACTTCTGCTTCACAGTAGATGCCCACATCCGGTAAACTCACACCCCAACTGCAGGCCTGTGCCCTATGCCCCCTCCCATGTCGTTATGCCCGCCCTTGTTATTCTGTGCCCACTCCATCAACAGCACTCCTCTATCAACACATATGCCTTCCAATCCTTTGCTTCCACCCCACCCTAATCAGCACCCGGTGCCAACGCCTCGCACACTGCCTTCCATCTCTGTGCCCAGCCCTTTCGGTACTCATGTATGTGCCCATCCTGGTGCTTCTGCGTCAAGTGCATTGTGTCTTCGTGCGTGACGCCTGTTTCTACGTGCACTCTCTGCGCGCCCCACGCCCAGTGTTTCCGAGCCCGCCCCTCCGCCCTCCCACCCTGGGTTCGCGGCCGCGCTCTTACCCGCCAGGAAGCGGCGCGTGTCGAGCAGCTGGCAGGTGCGCTCGCGCTCCAGCTTGTTGGGCCGCGCGCGGTGCGGGGCGAGGGGGCCGCGCCAGTACACGCGGCACCGGCACCGGCGCTTGGCGAACAGGCCCTCGGGCGCCACCCACAGCAGCACGCCACGCTCCAGGTGCGGCAGCAGGTGGCGCAGCGCGCCGGCGCCCGGCGGCGGCTCCGGGAAGTGAACTCGCGCCATGCGCGGCTGCGGGCCCAGCAGGTATTCGGCGGCCGCGTTGGCGGGGATGGCCCGCGGGCTCAGACAGCAGCCCTCCGCGGTGCGCACGGTGGCCTCGTGCACTAGGGCCGTGCCATAGAACAGCCGCACGTGCAGCCAGAAATCTGCGGGGACCAGGAGGGGGCGCGCGCGGACGGGCGTGAGGGACCATGGTTCCCACCGCCTCCACCCCTGGTCACCATTCCCCCAATCCTTTACTCCCCACTATTCCCATCCACCGTTTACTCTCCGCCCATCTCCACCCGCTCCCCTCCTCTCCACAAGTGAGCCGACCTCAGAAGCAAGCCTCTAGGAGCCTCCACCTCAGGAGGTTTTGGCGATCTCTCCCCAAGAGTAGAAATAAAAATTCTAGTAGAATGATAATGATAATAATGATAATGATGGTGATGATGATGATGATGATGATGATGATGATAATAATAATAATAATAATAATAATAATAATAATAATACAATAGTAACTTCCAATATAACCAGGCACTTTGGTGATATAGTAGGTTAAGAATTGGGCCACTAACCAAAAAATTAGTGGCAGGAACCCACCACGAGCTCTGAAGGAGAAAGATGTAGCAGTCTGATTCTGTAAAGATTTACAGCCCTAAGAAAATTTTTTGAGGGAGCTCTGATGGCCTAGTGGTAAGAAGCTGTGCTGCGGTCTAGAAGGCATGCGGTTCGAATCCATCAGCTGCTCCACTGGAGAGAGATGGGCAATCTCATCCCTTGCTATTAACTGTCTCTGAAAACCCACCGAGATCAGCTATGGGTCAGTGCCAACTCAGCTCTGTGGTACACAACAACAAGAGGCCATTTTACACTGTTCTACAGGGTGACTGTGAGTCAGAACAACTGGGTGGCAGATTTGGTCCCAGATAAATGAACTGGTGGCCAAGTTCAGTGGCTGAAATGGCAAGCCCTGGGGTCATTTGTGTTACAGAAGCAGGGACACTAAGACCCTTCCAACCCACTCCTCTGAGTCTCTCGGAGCTTTCTCTCAGCAAACATTTGAACGCTGGCAGGAACAATAACTAATGATAAGTGGCAATTATAATACAGCAATGGTCCCTATGAGGAAGCGGTAGTGTGGCCCCATGTTAAGGTTGTGCAGCCAGACTCCTGGATTCTAAATGCCTTGCTACCACTTAGGAGCTGTGATTTGTTAATAGCTGACCCGGATTACTAGCTGAGTGACCTCAGGCAAGGCTCTTCCTCTCTGTGGCCTGCTTCCTGTGTCTGTCAGATGGGGACACGGACACTATGTGAGTCAGAATCATCAACACAGAGATAGTGGGCTTTATCTCACAGAGCTGAAGGAAGCCCTTGGAAGCTTTAGTATCTGGCTGCTTCTGACTTACAGGAACCCTACATGGCAGAACAGAAGTGTGCCTTCAGGTTTCCAAAGCTGTGAATCTTCATCGAGGCCACATTTTTCTCTCATAAAGAGACTGATGGGTTTTGAACTGTCACCCTTTAGGCTAGCAGTCAAATAATCACTATGCCACCAGGGTTCTTAAGCAGGAACTAAGCCCTCAACAAATGTTAGCTGCTGTTGTTATTGGGGTTGTGGGCTGAATGCTCTAGTGGAAGGCATAGATTTGGGAGGCCTTTAAATTCCCTACCTGGGTTGCTGAAATCTTCTGAAAGGGTGGAGCTCCAGGAGTGGGTGGGGCCCGGCGCCTGGTACCCTGTTGGAGGGAAGAGAGCAGAGAGCAGTCAGGTACTACCCTACCTGGGCCCCTGGAGGCAAGGTGAGTGATCCTAGCCCAGCCTTACCATGGTCAGCCAAAGGGCTCGGGCCCAGGGTGGCTGGCAGCAGGGAGCCCTCCTGGGCTAGTCTGGAAGGAGATTGTTTGTCTTCATCCTTGGAGACTAATCCAGGTTGGCCCTGTGCATGGGGAGCGAGAGAGGGCTGTGATGGCAGGAGAGGAGATTCATGGGACAAAGGAGTCCCCAGGTTGTCCCCAACAGGACAGAGACAATTTGGGCTGACTGCTATGGATTGGTAGGATTATTTGAGGTTTCAGAGCACAGGACTGTCCCTCTTCCCACTTGGACACACACCCAGGGTTAGAGTGGGGATGAAGACAGAACTGATGAATGTACTTGGTGATGAAGTTAGAGATAAGAGCATCTTGCAGTAAGGGGTGCTGAAGCAGACGGGATGGGCAGAAGAGATGAGGGAGCTGGCGAAGCTAGTGTTGGGAGGCCAAATGATGACCAGCTGCTGGTGGGGACGCTAGGGACAGTGGAATGGAGCCAGATGATGTCTGATGGGGAATGGGGATAGCTCAGTTGAGCATCAATGGTGGAAGTGGAGGTAACGAGAGTGATACAAAGTAATGTTACTGGCAGACAGCTGGGTCTGATGCAGGCGATGGGATGACATGAAGGATTCAATGATGATGGGAGAGGGGATGAAAGAGAAGAAAATAGATTTGATATAGTCAGAAAGCTTGAACTGAAGATGCAGAGGGGATGGAAACAGTGAGGGAGCCAGAGGTGATGGAGATGAAGAAAACAATGGAGCTGGAAGTGATGGAAGGGACAGAGTGGAGGTAAGGAGAGAGGAAGGTGTTGGGGGGGGATGATGGAGGTGGGTCATGCAAGAGAAGCAGCATGTAATAGCGCTAGAGATCAGGGCAGCCGAAAGCCTAGGGCTGATGGAGCGTAGGTGCCAGTGAGTGAACCACGAGGCTGCAGAGGCCACAGGGCACACCTACCTGGTCTGTTCTGCAGGCCTGTCCAGTCACTTTCCCAGGAGGCTCCTGGCACAGAGGACTGTCCTTCCCTTTGGGGGGAGCACAAGCCTTGGTCGCTAGATGAAGCAAAAGACAGCAAGCAACTTGATGGAGCAGGAGTCAGCTGAATTGATGCCAGGCAAGAGTATCCCAATGAACGACCTCAGAAAAGACGGGCCCACCTCTTTCTGGATTTCACTTCCCCCTCTATCAAGTGGGAGGGACAAACTAAACAATCTAAGAATCCCAATTTTGCCAGCCCATACATTTAAGCTCAAGTCCACCCTTCCCCATTTTACAGATGGGCAGAGTGAGGCCCTTACTACCCAGAGAGCTGCCTGGGACCACTACCTCCAGGGGCAGGATGGTACCTGGGCCTTGGGTGCCCTCAGATATGATCCGGTAGACCTTGTAGGGGTTGGAGATGTCCAGCTGGCTGCGCTCACGCACCTCACAGAAGTCGGCGCTCTTGTTGAGGGCACAGCGGAGCCGAGTCTTCCAGACGGAGGGGTTCTCCTTGTCAGTGCCCTCCAGATGCTTGCCCTTGTACACAGCCCAGGCCTGGAAGTGAGCAGGAGTGCTGGGGAGGGATGCGGGGCCATGCAGAGGGGACAGGGGACGCCTTGCCTCCCACTAAGCTAGGATCTGGAGACTGATTAGAGAACAAGACAGTCCTGGTCCCCATCATTAAGGAACTTGCAGTCTAATGGAGAAGACATCTGCAAATAAGTAAACATGAATAGTGCACATTTCAAGTTACAGATTATGATAAATGCTTTCAAAACAAAGCCCAACTCATTGCCATCGAGTCAGGACTGATGCATAGCTGACCCTCCAGTTTTCAGAGGCTGTAAATCACACAAGAAGAGACTGCTCATCTTTCTCCTTCGGAGCAGCTGGTGGATTCAAACTGGCACCTGGCAGCACAGCTTTCTACTCACTTGGCTGCTAGAGCTCCCTGAAATAAGGAAGAGGGATACAAATAATGACAGTTGCTTGGGGGTGTGTGTGTGTGTGTGTGTGTGTGTGTGCGCGCGCGCGCGCGCGCGCGCGCCATCAAGTCGGATCTGACTGGTACAGGAGGAGATTGCCCTTCCTTCTCCAGCAGAGCATCTGGTGGATTTGAACCGTGTACCTCTTAGTGGTTTGCTATTTTGTGAACCCTAGATGATTAAGAAATCTGTAACTGACTGTGATCAATTAGTTGTGGCCTCCACTGCACTCGGACCAGCGAACCCTAGATGATTAAGGAAAAAAAGGGAAGAGGTAAAACTATGAAAATAATAGACTGGACTATAGGAGAAAAATATTCTATGACTACTTTGCAAAGTCTTATACAATAAAAAATATATTCATTAAACATGCTAAAATGTTCATAAATATTTTGGCAAAAAAGGACTAAGTAAATTAATAATACAAATAAGTGTATAAAAAAATTAAAAATACTTGTATCAACAATCAACAACCATGGCAACAGTAGTCAGGAAATCAGCAGACGAGCGGCACTGGGCAAATCTGCGGTCAAGGATTTCTTGAAAGTGCTAAAGAGCAAAGCTGTCTGTCTGTTGTTGTTTTGGTTTTGTGCTAGAGAACTCACTGTTCACTTGAATGAGAGTTCATCTCTTTTTAATTAGTAGTAATTTTAGTGAAAGTTTATAGAGACTTAGGGTTTCCATTCACTGTAGCACTTTTCTCCCTGCTCATCCCCTCCCTCCCAATTCACTCTTCTCTTTGAAAAGTAAATCTCTTTTATTGTTATGCAATCCCTCCCCCCCTCCAAGTCCATTGCACTGTGAAGCCTACATTCTGGACTCCTGTCATGACAATAATACCTAATCATATATCCCTTTTAAACAGTTCTCTCCCTCATCTGTTTCAATGAAGTATACATTATTTATCCCCTCTTTCTCAGTCTTCCCTCAACCCCCATGTCAGTCTCATTTCACAACAGTGGCCCTATGCAATATTTGTCCTTTTGTGACTGAGATATTTCACTAAGCATAATGTCCTCCAGGGTCACGCATTTTGCATAATATTTCATGAGTTCCTTGTTTTTCAATGCTTCATAGTATTCCATTGTGTGAATATAACAGACCTTTTCTATCCATTTGCTCATTGATGGGCACGTGGGTTGTTTCTATCTCTTTGATATTATGAACAAAGCCACAATAAACATGGGTGTGCATATATCTGCTTGGGTGGTGGTTATGGTTTCTTTAGGGTGTATTCCCAGTAGTGGAATTGCTGGGTCAAATGGTATTTCTACTTGCAACTTTTTGAGAAAGCACCATAGTGGTTGCACCATTTTACACTCCCACCAACAGTGAATAAGGGTTCTAGTTTCTCCACAACCTCTTCAGCATTTGATGTTTGCTGTTCTGTTAAATTTTGCTATTCTTACCGGGGTGATCTCATCGTTGTTTTGAAGGCTGTCCGTTTAAAGATTAAGACATACCTGACCCAAGCTATGGTATTTTCCATTACTTCTTACGCATGTGAATAAGGAAGACTAAAAAAGAATTAATACCTTTGAATTGTGCTAACCCATGGACTGCCAAATGAATGAACAAATCTGTGCTGGAGGAAGTTCATCCAGAGTGCTCCTTAGAGGCAAGGATGGTGAAACTTTGTCTCAGATAACCTTGGGCATGTTGTCAGCTGGTGCTGGTCCTTGGAAAAAGACACTACACTGAGGGAACGTGGAGGGACAAGGACTCTCAGGAAGATGATTGATGCAGTGTCTGCAACAATGGGCGTGCACACGGCAGAGATTGTGAGGATGGTACAGGACAGGGTTCTGATCTGTTGTTCATGAGATTGTTATGAGTGAGTCCCAGTCAATGTATTGACACACCTAACAAAAAAACAACCTTAGAGAGGGTGGTCAGAGAGGGCTTCTATGAGAAAATGACATTTGCATGCAAATGACCCAGAGTGACAAAGAGCTCCAAGAAGGATATTCTAGGAAGAACAGCAAGTGCAAAGGCCCTGAGGCGGGAATGAGAGCAGTCATTTCAAGGCAGGCTGGAGCAGACAGGCCAAAGGTAAGGGCAGCAGGAAATGCTTGTTTCATTGATCACTCTCAGGGCTGTAATTGATGAATTGCACTCAACTCACTGCCCTCAGAGATACAAGCCCTGAGGAAAGCCACAGTTCCTACACTGATGTCTCATGCCAACACCAGCGGTGAGACCGCTGAGGTTTGAGTTCTTTATCTGCTAAGTGTCCTGATAATACCTCACTTCATGTGGCTGTGATGGATGCAAGATGAGGCGGTAGAAGCAAAGTGCTGCTCCCAGCACCTGGATATACTTGGTATGCATTTCTGCAGCATTTCTTCACTACATTAAGTAGATGCAAACTCACATACAGGGCATGAGGCACTGTCACGCCAGGACAGGATCAGACACTGTGCTGTGTGAGGGAATGAAGTCTGTAATGAGGGGGGAAGGTGTCTGTTTTGTTCACTGCTGTGCCTCCAAAGGGCCTAGAATGGAGTCAGCTGCGCAGGAGAGGTTCAGTGAATATTTGGGATGGGTCCTGAAAGATGACTAGGAAGCAGCCAGGTGGAGCAGAGGGCACAGTTGAACAAAGACCTGAAAATACGAAGGACAAGGGATGTGGGGGACACTGAGCAGCCTGGTGTGGCTGGAGCTGGAAAGGTGTATGTGAAGGTACATGTTGAAAAAGATGGAGTTGCTAGGGAGCTCTGATGGCCTAGCGCCAAGAAGCTGCACTGCAATCCCAAAGGCATACAGTTCGAATCCACCAGATGCTGTGCTGGAGAAGGAGAGGCAATCGCCTCCTGTTCCAGTCAGATCCAATTTGATGGCATACAACAAGAAAAATATGAGGTTACTGAGGCCAGGTCATGGACATCCTTGAAGATCAAGCTTTATCCTATGGGGTTTGGGGCTCCAGGAGGGTTTTTGGTTTTATTTATGGATCTCTATCTCTTTTTTTTTTTTCAATTGCCAATCCTTATTCCATTACACTTTTCCACCACCCATCCAGTCCCTCTCCCGTAATTTATATATAAACCATGTTGTTGTTTTGTTGTTATGTGCCGTCGAGTCGTTTGCGACTCATAGCGACCCTATGCACAACAGCCCTAAACCCTGCTCTATCCTGTGCCAA